AAATCAAGTGTTGTGTGACAATAAAGTGTATCAATAACAAATGAACTTATTATTGGAGGATTTTAACAATTTAATGAACGAAATTTTATATTGTCAAAATGAAAAAGGGAATGCTGATCGATAAATGATATGCAATAATATGAAGTGTAGACTAGTAATGGCCGGTCACGATACCGTATACTTGGAATGCGAACCCGTGAATGATTTCAAGCTAAAGACAAAATTATTAGCCAGAAAGCAGTTTTTCTAACTCATAAAACGACATGCTCAACTATAAAATATTGTCGTAAAATAAACGTGTTTTAGGGGGTTAGAGGAAATCAATTTGTAAGTCACTAACTATTCAATCAATTAAGTTATGATTGTTATGCCTAATTCTTGGACAGTGGATTAAAATTATTTAATGTACCTTTCTCAGTGTGGATGTGAATTTTGGGATGCTTGTGATATTGTAACTATGCTAATTATTATTTAGTGTATTTCTTGCTTTTCATACACCACTATTTATCAAAAACAACTGTATGCTTGCGAGGATGAAGGTTACAACGATTCTCATGCCGAAAGCAACACTGTAACCCAAAAATGTCATCACATTTAGTAAATCGTAAATCACATCTTTCCAAATAATGCACCTTTTTTAGCGTTGTCGTTCTTTTGTAACAGATTGATTATGGCTACAGATTGGCGTGAATTTTTTTAATTTTCGCAATATATATATGTATATATATACTCTAATCTTTCATTGCTAAAAGGAGTGTTTCTTAATGGTAAAGCAGCAAGTAGAGGGGCTGTTACACACTATACTATTTTCTTCTATGCGCAGTTGAAAATCTTACCGACACAATGAGAAGGGTAAAAGACATGGCATCTGTAATGACATTCGATAAGGATGATTAATCTCACTATGTTTTCTTCTCTAGTCTTTGATATCGTCTGCAAACAAGGGTCGACGTTCCGACCAGACTTCGCAATTCATTAACGTAGGGGAGAGAAAGTAGGCGATCTGATATGGTACCTTCAAATACACCACTTTTAGAGGGTTTTCATTCAGATTGTGTCTTATACACCCTTACTTCTTGTCTCCGGTCACAGAGGAAATTTATCATCCATTCTCGTATAGCACCTGTTATTTCAAAGCTGCTCTGCCGAAATTTGTCAAAATCATCACATTGACAGGCATCTACGAGGATCGCTTTGGTTAGACAATTTTCTCTACATAACCAGGGTGAGTAAATCTGGTTTGCAGCTATGCTTATACGCGACCGATGATAGATCGGTACATATTTTACAGAACCATTTATTACAGCTGTCACAATGCATATCATCTTCATCAGAAAAGAGACACAATGGTCGACTACATCGATAACTTTGTACGACCAGTTTAACCAGTATGATCGGTATACAACGAGAAAACGAGTCTTCTTGTATGCGTACAATAACTCAAGTAACAGAACCGATATTACAGTACCTATGGGAATTTACCAAAACGGTTACTTCAATTAGTGGCAGTCAAAGTAATAACTCTATGAAAACAACAGAAAAATAGTAAATGCCAATGCACATGTATCTGTACAGATATGCATCAGAAAACATTCAACTACTCAAAGCTAAGGTGACAAACGTGCAAAAATGTATTTCAAAAAAACAAATATTGTTGAAGGCGTTCAACATGAGTTTGAATGTAAGCATTTGGTACGATAACCGCAAAAGAAGTCAAACATCTTAAAATGTGGAAACATTCACTCCCTTGATCGAAATTGCGCGGGTAACTGTAGTGGCAGATGAACTTTCTCACCTCGACAGAAACTGTCAAGACAGTGTGGTTGATGCCACCAAGTTGCGAAACACTCTACAAAAATACTCCCACAGCATCGGACACATCCAGATGTGTTTGATCAGAGTAACAACAACAATCTCCACTCGAACCAAAATTAGAAAACATATATGGATATGAAGAAGTTTACCACAAAAACTGGATCTTCACTAGTAAGCATACACCCAGGATTAACACAGGTCATCTGAACTACTATTATTCATATTACGGACGACTATACTGCATCCACAAGGTCGAGCGAATTCCCGTATAGTTGACATCAAATTCAGCTTTCGTGAAGATGCCAGTCATATTCCGATGAGTTCAAAAGCAGTGTATGAACAAACCCGATCATCCTTCCTATCCTAAAGTGTTTGTGTAGTGTATACTTGTGGTATTTGTGCGAAATGATGATTTTTTGTACTTGATTGCCCGTTGATTTCGAATTCCAAACACAATACGTTCGTTTGTGCTCATCTAGTTTAACTTGCTGTAAATTGTACTAAATTGGGAATTCCTAGTTAGGCAATAATTCCCCCCTCTTTTTTTGTGCATGATTTGCCATCTCCCACAAAAAAACTTTTTTTTAACATGTGGACGATCTCATTGTATGTATGCCGATTTCTACCTGTTTACATCCCCTTGAAATGCCTCTTATTGAACGATGGTCTGTTGTTAATGGTCTTACACTTAATCCTTCTAAATGTCACTGTTAACTTTAGACTGAAATATGAACAGCATCTTAACAAGCTGATGGAATCCCATAAAGCCTGCACTACTTGTAGATAGATGTCTGAAATCTGGCAGATGTCATCCTATCATATACTAACCATCCAGTTCATTCATATATTTCTCCTCGTATATCTTCTGGTAGAACGAAACATCAATATATTAGAATCCATGTACGCAAGCAAAGATATAAGAGCTGTGTGATAATTTATCTAGCAAATATATCATGTGACAAACAAGTCGTTAGACTGAGCTAATCAATAACTTGTTTTCCTAAACATGTTTCCAATTAAAAAGTTGAACAGATTCAAATCTAAAAAAATACCATCTAACCCCAGGTACTTCATTAACTAAATTTATGAATATATGTATGCAATTATCGTTTTCTGTTTTGTTTCTTAGAATAAGCTTGTTGAAATACTTTGTTCTGAGAACTCTATATGGTACCAAAAATATGATATGGGATAAATCCATTAATATTGATAATCATAAAAGTAATAATAATAATAATAATAATAATAATAATAATAATAATAATAATAATAATAATAATAATAGTAATAATAAGAATATTTAGTCTATTTAGATTCACTGCTTTAAGTATACAATTTATCATCACTGAAGAAGGGTTAAGCATAACTTAAACACATATTTTTGCACAAAATGCAGTCAGTTTTTACATACTGAACTGTAAACGAAAGGAGCTTCTGTGAATTTAGAACCAATGGTCCATGTGTATGTACGTAAGTATGAAACGAAACCAGTAGCAAATAAAACAAAATAGCAAAAAATGTAACAACGATTATTCAACAATACGATACAATAAAATATTTGCTTACATCTTGAATAGGCTTATAATCAGGATCATTAAAATGATATATGAAGCGTAGAACACCAGGACGTAGTACACTTCGACCCAGTACAAGCAAAGACGCCATATAAAATATGTACAACATTCCAATTGCCCAATGAATAAAGGTAAAAGCAACTGGTGCATAATGAAATACACTAGCTCGTTGAGTTAACGTCGCATTGAAAAGAGACTATATGAATGAATACAAAAAAATGTGCTTAAATATTTATATTTTCAAAGTATGAGAAATACAACTAATGTAAGTATCTTCAACTTATCACTACAGTCGGAACAGCACGATATGATGCATCCTATTCCTTAAATAACAACCGAAACATTAGTCAATCCAATTAACAGTATTGTGTCTCTTAGGGAAAGCTTAACATAATTGGCTGTTTAAATAAAATCTCACGAAATTCGAGTTAGTTATAACCATCTAAATTTCATAAAGGGATAAAGGTTCAATGTTAACTCGCCTATTTTTGTCTGTTTGTAGATTCATAACTGAAAAGTAGCTGGAGACTAGTTGAGTTGTTCTTGGAAGAGCTGCACTTTTTCCTTCACTTTGTTTGTGGGTCAGTAGTTAGACAAAATATAGAAGAACGCCATACATATGTGTATGTGAAAGTCACATACTAATCCGTCTTTTTCTACGCTAGTTCAACTATTAAAGTATTAAATTTAGTCAGTTCGATACTTTTAAATTAGCCTACTAAGATTGTTGCCTTTTTGATTACTTTTATTCTTTAAACAAATTAAAATTAATGATCATTGAGTAGATATTGCTTTCACTTCCCATAGCATTTAGTCCATCAAGAAAGTTTGCAACATATAAAATTCTGAAAAAGCTGTAGAAATTGACTAGTCTTCTATGCTCGCCGAAAGTTACTGACAGTTGTTGCCTAAAATTTCATTAAACACTATATTAATGTTCTATAGATCATATATTTGTTTTGTTTCAATCATAGTTTATACTGATCTTCAATATTTACTCTAAAATTAGGCAGAAATTAAGAAGGGGGCTGATCAATTGCAACTCTAAACACCAATAAGAAGATTCAAACGACCAATACAAAAGTATTAAATTTTACGCCATTACACAAACCAGTGTTTATATAAACTCAGTGAATAATGCGATGGAATTTGAAGCGAACAGTACCAGGTTCGAGTCCCGGAGCGAACATCGACTCTGGGATACAGGCACATCCAGCTGACGAGTCCCAAAGAGGGGCGAAACGCGCGTCCTGTATCCCACTGTCAGCCACCATCATTTATACTCATAAGGTATTGTAATAGTTTATATATTGCTTATTTTTTTAAATCAAATGAGATAATGGCCCTAATCTAAATTAATGCAGCACCGTTAGTAGATTTTTTGTGCACCAGTGACTCAGTGGCTGAGGCATTCAACTTATAACTACTAGGTCAGGGGTTCGGTTTCCAATCCACTTGACTCAGTTTGGGCATTTGAATAGTACTGCTAACCACTCACGAGAAAATTGCGACTCAAAGCCAAGTACAAGAATCTGTACTAGGTGAATAGATTACATCAATCGATTTAGTGAACTTCGGTTTTTTTTTAATATAACAGTTTTCTGTAAGGTTTATACAAATAGAGTCTAAACGTTACAAATCATTGATAAAAAGATGATAAAAAAATTGACGGCCAATCAAAATAGCAAAACAACCTACTGAGATTTTACACTAAGAAAGTGCGTCAAAGTATTTTGCAAATATCGCGATAAATATTCGAATTTAAAACGATATATCACACGTAAAAAACTTAAGTACAAAAATCAATAACTGAAAAAAAACATTTCCAATAACATGGATCTCTATGCTTAATATGAAAAATCAGTAGTTAAAATTTAAATGCTTTGTGTTCTTTATTCGTTGAACACCATATTACACTAAATTTGCTTAAAGGCTATGACAAAATTCAAAATTCAACCATAGCATTTACTTGTAAAAAATAATAAGTGAAATAATTTGTCGATGGATAGACAACCAAGTAAGGTATGCTTACCAAAGTACAAGCATCTATCCAAAATCCAGACAAAATGGGGAAAATACCCAATTCCATTAAAGAAACCAAAGCAACTTTGATGTATATATATCCAAGACCAGTCCAATAACAAGCTCTGTGCGAACGATAATTTGTAAAAGTATTGATAATAAGTAACTTTTAAGCATATAATAGTAACTATGAGAACAGTAATCATTATTATTTAGAACTAAGCAAATTAAATCGAGTACAGATAATGTAAGATAGTAAAGAAGGGATTTAAGCAATTAAATGCTGTGATGTGAAATTAAATCTCAGGTACCAAATAAAAATTAAAGGGTTTATTTAAATAGTTACGTTTCCGAAATAAGAGACAGTGAGCACCAGTAGATATCAAATGTTGTTGTCATTTCGAACGAAAGATTATCATCTACATGCTTTGATTCACGATTAATTAATGTTTTTTATTTATGGAGTCCAATTAATTAGTGATTGGATGGATTGAATTTAAATGACAAGCTTTACAAATGACTGCATTCATTTTCTCCATAACCTAAAATCCTAAGTTTCGATTATTGTTTGACATATTGTATTGAAGAAATAACTTTCTTTGACTCAAACTACACACTCTCTATTCCTAACTTTCCCTTTATTACCGCTGATACTAGTTACTCCTACCATCATGGTATTACATTTATCTTGACGTGTTGAAGTGGTATGACTATTCAAGACGATGTACATTTATTTCAAGTTATACATTGTTTATTATTAACTAATTAACTGACAAAGATTAATCATTTTTATAAGGTTACTTTATAAATTTTTGATATTTTGAGGTATCTAATAGTTGAACTTAGAGAATATGTTAATTTCGTTTGAAAATTTAGCCTTTGTATGTTCGGGCTCTCAGATTTTCTTATTTTTTAAGTGTTACATTTACAAGTGCACACATGACTTTGTTTTATGTTAGTACAGTTAGTCAGCTGCGAGTATTTAACAAGATTCAGCTAGTCTTCAAATGGAATGGGTAATGAAAACCGATACTATGCATTTAAAGCTAGGGCGAAAAATAAATTGATTAACACGCCACGTGAACTTATTTGCTTGAACTTGATACATACAAATGTATCAAAAGATTAGTGACGGATTTTAAGAAACTAAATGGTATTAATCCTACATGTGACCAAATCAACATCTAAATTGGCTTCGTAGAACTATTTTCAGTTCTAATGTCAGCACCCTCTCTGACTTACAATTGATTGATCACTGGGTGGTGATCAATGTCTTGCTTGTCTAGTCCTTATTAGTGCAAATCGAATGCTATCGATCATGTTGCAATGTGGCCACCAGTCTAGGTGACTCGACACTGCGGGCACTATGTATTGAGATTTAGATGGTGGTTGGAGGTAGTCAACAGGAAACCCTGGACCCGGGTTTCGTGCTACTTGGCACTCGTCAGCAAAGTGTACCTGTAATCTTGAGGGAACTAGTGCTCCCTGGCGGATTCAATCTCGTGTCACCCAGCTTCACAGTCACAGACGTTACCACTGAGCTATCCGAGCCGTGACTAACCTCCTGTAGGACTGAGATGTAATCACAATTGATTAATCACTGGGTGGTGATCAATGTCTTGCTTGTCTAGTCCTACAGGAGGTTAGTCACGGCTCGGATAGATCAGTGGTAACGTCTCTGACTGTGAAGCTGGGTGACACGAGATCGAATCCGCCAGGGAGCACCAGTTCCCTCAAGATTACAGGTACACTTTGCTGACGAGTGCCAAGTAGCACGAAACCCGGGTCCAGGGTTTCCTGATGACTACCTCCAACCACCATCTAACCCTCTCTGACTATACAAGTTAGTGAAGATTTACATCCACAAATTAATGACAAATTAAATTAGGACTCAGCAGCCTAATCTGAATCAACGTCATCATATTATTTTTAATAAGATGTTAGATACCGGATCACATAAACGAAAAAAGTATCATCATACACACTATCAGTGATAGGAAAATAGATGGAATCAAAAATTGATTTTAAAACAACTTATAACAGCATTTTGATGATTACACGAAAATGTTAATGATGACAAATTTTTGATTAAATTTTAAATTTCATCCTGAATAAGATGATAACATCTAAATATTGCAGGAAATAAGATTAACAAAGATTGTTAGATGTGTTTGAATAGCTTATCTTATTAAGTAGTCAGAATGACATTTTAGCTACATGCTTACGCCATCATTTGTTATTAGTAGTAGATCCTACAACTAGTCCGTCGTAAAAAACCCACCTTAAACAGAGTGAAGGGATTCAATCACTCCTTTCAATGGTTCTAGTTCGACAGTGTGGTGAGGGATGGTTAAAAAATTTGAAAATTCCCATGCAAATTTGCTGATGATAAGTTTTCTGTTGCAAAGTAAGAACTAGTGGCATGGATTTGTTATCTGGAGAAAGACTTCAATCTTGAGTAGGGGGGGGGGTGATATTATCTTACAGTAAGACGAAAAAAATAATATGCAAGTAACACTTAAATAGTTGGCAATTAGTGTCTATAGGTATGACATTTATTTCGAACCTTATAAACGTAAAGTACTTCTGTATAAGACAGGAGATTTTACGAAAATAAAAAACAATTCAATACAAGTTAATTAATAAAGGCAAATACATATATATATATATATATATATATATATATATATATATATATATATATATATATATATATATACAAAATTTATCTTACCGAGGCATATTGAGAATAGCGAATACTTCATGCATAAGAATCAAAGCAAAAGCGAAAATAATGTAACCAATTAAACTTGTACTAAACCCTTCCATGTGAGTTGCATTAATCTACATATAAATTAAAATATTTGATGATAATTGACAATAAGTTGTGATTGGCTTTAACAACAAGACAGGGAAAAAACTATTCACTTACAACACGTTCCAAATTGAATCCCAACACAGTAAACTGACCCATATGATATGGACAAAAGGCTATAAATTAAATAGATAAATGATGCAGTTAGTGAAAAATAAAAAGGAAAATCAAGTGTACACATCTAACGATATTAAAAAAACCGGTAAAAAAAATCAAGTTACACGATGGTCATGATAAAAACCATCATGAATTTAGTATATGTGGATCAGTCACATTACTTAATGATGGTGATATGAAAAATATACAATGCTTGGCTAATAAATGTCATTAAAACTTAGGCAAAAATTATCATCAATGAAGGAATACGATACGTGTCTGTGGACTTGTAACGCTTAGTTTTTCAATGCTTAATATGTGTGTGGTATCAAACATTTTCCAATCGTTTAGTGGGTGAGTGCTTTATGCAAAAGCATAATTTTCCCTGGGAATTTCATTTCCAGTTCTAACTTTCACTTTATTTGCTTTTTTCATCCGGCAAATATGGATGAGATACAATCGCTTGTTTGTAGAAGATATACAGATAGCTTCAGGTAGTTAAAATGAAATCCTGAACGGAAATTATGCTCTTATGTGCAGCACTGACACACTAAATAAGTGGGAAAATGTTCGAAAACACTAGATATAGCACTTTTGTTGAACATTAAAAAAGGATGGTTATCCTCAAGTATTAATGACCAGAAATGCAGTTGGTAGAGCTGGAATTGTGTATATAAAATTCAAAAGTATGCAGAAAGTGGTGTTACAGCTTGTAATGCCCCGATAAGCACAATGAATGGTAACTTTTAGGATCCATCTATGGACCAATACTATGCGTATATTTTTATCGTATAATTGTTAAATAACTAAACTATACATATTCATGTCCCTTTTATCATGAGCTTTATTTTGAACTATGAACTATTATTATACGATTTACCATTCTTGAATTATGCCCTGTCTATTAATTACTACCTCCCACATTCACAGCCACATTTGACCAAAACTTGTATAAATGTTGTTTCCTATTTTATGGTACGATGTGGTCTGTCTGAGTGGTATATAAACCCCGTATGCTTGAAATAAATGATTCATATTGCAGAAGCTGAGATTGGTGTTCTCGACTTCACTGGCTGGGTTAGGCAAAAAGCAGGATCGATAGGTATTCTAGACTGCTCGTACGTGTTTTATGCCTCACTGGTTCGGTCGATAAGTCACTTCTCTCTAATAGGCGGTATCATTACGCTATACATTAACAGGGCACACAGGTCACAAGTTATAACACAGTGACAATTACATTTTATTTGATGAAGTGGGACATACAACAGACCTTGCATTTTCATTGAGAACAAGTAACCTAGTTTCCAACACAAACTGACTACTTTACCTACATTAGACATCTCATCAAGGTTAGAATACTGACGCATTGGTTGCATTAATGAACTCAGCAGTAATAATCATAGTACAAAACGTTTCATTTTAATACGAAAGCAGATAAACGAGCAGAGACAAATAATTGTTTAAATTTGAACCGTTTCGATCTTAAAATTTCCTTCCATTAGTAATAGCGCATTATTCATTGGGTGATATGGCTCATAATCCTTCACGATGGCACGGAATTCGCTCTTTGTCTTCTTTTATAACATGGGTTTCAAATTTTCATACATTTTATTCCGCGAACTCATTTTGGATTATATTGTCCGTGCCGAATGTTTTCTACTACTACCGATATTGTTACCACTTCTATTACATTGAAATTTGTCTTAATGATTACATCTCGCTGTCCTGATTATCTGGCAACTTGAATTGAGTAATCATTAACTTTCTCGAAGTTAGAATGTTATCAACTCCGACACTTCATCTAATCACTTATTTATCTGCCAATATATAAGTGCTGAAAAATAAATCCTTTTAGTATATTTCATATTCAGCTCTTATTTACCACTGTTGCTCAGTGCAGTTAGCCTAAGCACAATGTAAGGATTGAGGTGGAGTTTTGTTCACTGAGCTGGATGGTTTAGTCGTGGAGCTTTCATTATTCTTCTGAACAACATCAGTATAAACTTCAGGTAAAAGTGAAGTGTTTAAGTTTCTCCACATATGACTCACCGCTTGTCCTGTAAACCGCGGTCTCGATTTGTTATTGTTGACCAATCAAAAACGAGGTACACAGGACAGGCTATGGGTCATATATGGAGAAATTTGAACACTTCACTTCTACTTGAAGTTTGCGCTGATGTTGTTCAGAAGAATAATGAAAGCTCCACAACCAAATCATCCAGCGCAGTGAACAAAAATTCACCTAAATCATCCACCTGAGCTACAAATCACTATCTCAACATAAGAATCAAAACAGGGAATTATGTTGTAATTGTCATCTCATTAATGACATCAACTTAAGGGCTATATTAGTGCCATAACATTATGTGAACTATTTAGTTGTTGCTATCATGTATTTGATTAGATATTCGTAATAGTTACTTTATAACATGTATATAGAGAACATATAGTTTAATTCTATTTTCCATTACAAATCAAGTTTTATTTGACATGATTTGTGTAGTTACAGTGTATAAACCCAATAAACGCATTCAACACCATTCTTTCTGTGTAGCTTCACTGTAAATATCAAAAATTGCTTGGCATTAGATCTCAATCAACGAAAATCTAATTGGCATACTACTAGTAAGCAAAATGTTAGCGGTGCAAATACAAATCACGCTTACTATAAACACCCTAAATTATACTTTTATTACACCATGAAACTTACCAAATATGACAATAAACAAAGTATTTAAAGCAATAAGCCACAAAACGTGTTCCAGAAAATTTAAAGATCCATCTAGACCCAATAAATGTTTCCAATTCATGGCTTCTGGTGCACCATCTGCATCTGCTGGATCGTTATTGGCTCTACCATCTTCGTCAGGAATATCCCCCTCCAAATTAACTCCTGTATTTTCCATATACCAAGCCAATTGTTGTGGATTAGATGATGATCCACGATTTACAGTATCTGCCGACTCATGTGAAGGCTCTAATGATTCTGAGATACCACTGTTAATCACCGGTTGTTGTTGATTTAGAGAGGAACACGTGATATGTTCAGGATTCACTAATTCTTGTTGAACAGTTTGATGATGCTGTTCATCATTGTTAAATATTTCAGGTTCAACAGGATCTTCGTTGCCTTCACCGAAAACTGCAGCACCTAAACCACCACCATTTGCAACACCAAAAATATTGAAAATATCCGGAAATAGAGGTCGCCTACCATTGACCCCAGCGGCAGGATGAGGAGGATGGGGAGGATCAACACCACGAGCTTCTGGAATTCACAAATAAATTCGAGATCGAAACACAGAAGAAATTTACATTTAAATTTTTGACAAAATACCTAAACAAATATTGAATGTCTACAATTTTTTTCAAAAAGAATCTCTACATAGTTTTATAATTCTAAATTTTCAGTGGTTGTTCAGCTTGGATTATCTGATATACGTTTGAAATGTAACTTCACATAAAACTTGTCTATTGAAGATAAAATACTAGCTAATAAAAAAGTTGTTTGCTTGTACTGAATGAAGACTAGTGTTATGACCTTGAATCGCTTTACCCCGTGATACTTGTTATGACTTCACCTTGATCTGTCTAGATTTAACTATGACCTTGACGCGATAGGGTGAGCGGCTTAACCTTGAAGTCTATCACGCGTGAGTTCGAGTTGGGGTAGAGAGATAACTATTCTAGAACCTGATTGGTTGGCAAGCACGCAAGTGAGAGAAGACAAGACAGGTGGAACACTGAACTCTGGATTCTCTGAATTCGGATTAATACAAAAATGTACATGAATAAATAAGTGAATATCTTGACTACGACGTACAATAATTTGGGAAAATACAGTTATGTCCAAAACAGGGAATTAGGGTAGAAAATACAGTGCAAAATATTATCTTTAAATTACAATATTTTCGGAACAAAAAGGAGTATGCTGGTGAATGATACATAGAACGAAAACTCGTGTTATGTAGAATAAGATAGGGACAAAAATAAATATAAGTGTTTTACAGGGTTTGAATGAAATGCAATAACGTCCCAAGAAAATAGCTTTCGTGATTGTCTGGGCTTCTTAATTCCCCGTTCATAACACCTTCCCCCTTAAAAAAAAGAAAAAAAAATATGGTTAGTTACTATATACAGGTAAGTGCTGAGATATCATCATTGATATCTTCCTTCGGAAACGTATGTTCTCCTCTTTGGGTCTACCTGTAGAATATCTGGTCTTCTGCGTTTCCGTGATGCTTTTCTAATAGGACTTTGTTCATGTTGCGCAGTCTTCTGAGTTGCTGAGCATTTTATGTCGAAACTGTCCAGAATGATTCTCCACATTGAGTCTAATTTCTCGGTTTTCTGTGAAGTGCCAGCATTTTCCAGTATGTGGTTGACATGGCGTGTCCACTTCTGTCCTTCAACTTCCACCACATACATTACATTCCCTTGTCTCTTAAGTATGCGTCCACTGGTCCATTGTGGAGGTGAATATCGGAAATCACGGACGTATACTTTTTGATTTTTTTGGAAAATTCTGCGTTTCGCCCCATGATGGCGATCAAACTGGCTTTCCATCTTTCTGTTTCTTTTTCCGATGTCTATTTTCTGTGGTTTTATGGCATCGAGAGCAGTTCTTACTTTTCGACCAAACATGATTTCTGCTGGGGACATTTGATTTGGTGTTGATGGGTTTGAAGTTGTTCTATAGACCAAGAGAAAATCATCAAGAATCTCCTCTATCTTTCCCTCCCCTTTTGCCTTCAGTAGCGCTCTTTTGAAGGTATCTACAAACCTTTCGGCCTGACCATTCGATTGTGGATGGTACGGAGGTGAACGGACATGTTTGACTCCAAACCTCTTGCAGAAATCTGAGAAGATGGAAGAAATAAACTGAGTGCCGTTATCTGTCACGAGAACATCTGGAACTCCAAAACGGGAGAATAACTGCCGTAGCTTCCTGATAGTCTGTTGCGAAGTGATTTGATTTATAGGAAAAATCTCCGGCCATTTTGAATAAGCATCAACACAAACGAGGAAGTACGTACCCTGGAATGGGCCAGCAAAATCAACATGTATACGTGACCAAGGTTCTTCTGGAGATGGCCAGGAATGTAGTTCAGCTTTTCGTGGACACTTAGAAACCTCAGCACATTTTCTGCACGCACGCACGAAATCTTCGATGTGTTCATCGATATTAGGCCAATATACATAACTTCGAGCAATAGCTTTCATTCTTCCAGTACCTGGATGGGCTGTATGCAGTTGTTTCAGGACGAGTGAGCGTAAGTTATACGGAACCACTACGCGATCAGCAACCATAATACAGTCATTTACGATGGATAAAGATTGACGTCGTTGATAATACTGTTTCAGTTCATGAGATGTTATACGTGGGGGCCAACCACGCTGGATAAATGTAGATAATCGTCTTAAGATAGGATCGCGGCGAGTGTGTTCAGCGATTCGAGCAGCTGTCACTGGAAGAATTTGTGTTGAATTAAACAACATTCTGCTTACATCTTCTTCCACTGATATAGAAGCGATAACAGTATCTTCGTTTTCAAGCTTATGATTGCTTATTAAGCGCGATAATGCATCAGCATGGCCAAAATCAGAGGTAGATTTGTATTTGATAACGAAATCATAACCCAATAGCATTGTAGCCCATCGTTGGAGGCGGTTTGCGGTATAAACTGGTATACCTTTCTTAGATCCGAAAATTGATAATAGGGGTTTATGATCAGTGATTAAGGTAAATTTTCTGCCATGCAGCATCTTGTGAAACTTTTTTACTGCGAAAATTAATGCCAATCCTTCTTTCTCAATTTGACTGTACTTGCGTTCTGCTGAAGTCAATGTTCTGGAAGCATGTGCGATAGCCTTCTCTTTGCCATCTGGAAACTTATGGGATATGACGGCACCGATACCATAGTCAGAAGCATCTGCAGCAACAACAATTTCCAGCGAGGGATCAAAATATGTAAGAAGTAGATCCGACGTTAATAATGACTTTACTTCATCAAAACATTTTTGACACTTAGTGGACCAATTCCATTTTACATTACTGGATAATAATTGATTCATAGGTGCTCGGAGGCGATGCAGTTGTGGCAAGAAATTACTGTAATAACTGATAAGACCAAGGAAGGAACGCAGAGTTGCTACATTAGATGGAGGAGGCATATTTTGGATAGCTCGTACATTTTCCGGATCTGGGCGTCGTCCATTTTTGTCGAAAACAAAACCAAGATATTTCACCGAGTTCATGAAGAATGTACACTTTTCTTCTTTTAGATAGAATCCACACTCAGATATTTTGGTTAAAACAGTATCGAGTCGATTGAATAACTCGGACTTACTGGAACCTGTAACTATTACATCATCCAAATAGACAGCGACTCCTGGCAAATTAGCCAACATAGTGTCCATTATTTGTTGAAAGATAGCTGGTGCTGGTTTCACACCAAAAGGTAAACGCTTATATTGGTAAAGACCTCTGTGGGTGTTAATCGTCAGTAATGGTTGGGAGGCTGGATCAACTTCTATCTGGAGATATGCGTCAGCCAGGTCAATTTTAGCAAAATACTTTCCTCCATTTAGTTTGATGAATAAATCTTCCTGTATGGGAAGTGGATATGTGTGATCTTCTAGAGCATTATTCAGACCAGTGGAAAAATCAGCACAAATGCGAACAGTTCCGTTTGCTTTTCTCACGACCACTATGGGAGCAGCCCACGATGAATAATTTACTGGCTCAATGACACCTAGTGCTTCTAACCTGTCCAATTCTTGGTCAACGACTGACAAAGCAGCATACGGCACTGGTCGTTTCGGTCTGAAAATGGGTTTTGCATTTTCCTTTAGTGATAAGGATACTTTGGTAAATTTACAACAACCCAGTTTGTTTTGAAATACACATGCATGCTTTTGTCGAAGATGATTTATGTAAGATACAGACGACAATTGAGAGGAAACAGAAGACTTTGATGTAGACATAACATTAGGACGAAGTACATGAGACTTCGAAATTTCACCAGCGCATACTTTGTCTGAAGTCTTCGATTTGGAAATTTTATGAGAAGGTAATGAATCGGCGGTATTAGATTTGACATGGTGAGAACACATAATATTTGAATTGTTTGATTCAGAAAAATCATAAGAACATGTTTTATCAGGAGCATTTAATTCATTAATATCCAGAGAGGATGATTCGACGGAGGCATTTGATTTAGAAATATCATTAGGGATTTGGATAGATTCATAGGAAACATTATGGGAACATACCTCATCTAATAATTTATTCAAAGTATCAACATGAGCAATCCAATCTAATCCCAATAGATCTAAATCGTGTCGATTTGTTAGATAACAAACATCTGTAAATTTACTTCCCATGAGTTGAACATTGCATAGAACCTCTCCTGTTAACTTTACTATGTCTCCTGAAGCATTTCGGGCGACATGTTCCGTCGGTCGGATGCGTGGGCATCCTAACTTGTGCCATGTGTTCTTTGAAATCAACGTGACATCAGAAGCAGTGTCCAACTGAAGTCGTATAAGTTTTTCATTTACTAATAAATTTACAAATTTCCGCCTGCTTTTAAATCCAACTTTAAAGGTTGCAAACGTGGTTTTAATTTGACTGTTTGATCGTTGATTTGAATTTTCACTACGACGTTTAGTCTTGCGTTTATTTGACGAACAATGACCGTCTTTGTGGCCAATGCGATGGCATTTGCGGCATTTATGATTCTTGAACGGACAGAATTTCGCAAAATGCCATGCTCCGCAGAACCAGCATGGTGATGGGGGTTTTGCAGAAGGTTGTTTCGTGCTTGTACAGTTTTGTTTCGATGATTTTATGGATCGGAGTGCATTAATTGAACCAGACTCGGAAGGTTTAACCTTCTGTTGCACCATAGCCGTGTCATGCTTGAGATTAAGTAATCGCTGACATTCGGTTGTGACCATTTGTAATGTCATATTTGGTTCTTGTTCAATACGTGCCAACATTCTGGTACGGACATCTGCATCTTCTTCATTCTTTAGACCACATATGAAAATCAAGCATTTAAACTGGTCCGCAGTGATGTCGTTTATTTTAAAGCGTTCGCACTCTCGATTCACCTTCCCAGCATACGTGACATAATCGTCCTCTGGAGATTTTGTTAATTGGAAACATTTATAGCGAGCATTAAATAATGAGGACTGTTCATCGAAAATATCAGATAAAATCTGGACCGTATCTTTGAATGATACATCTCGTGGATTTTGCGGTAAAATAAAATTCACATATTTATTATATTCCTGTGTTCCCAGTCTTCTTAAGAGTAAGCGGACTTTTGCTGCGTCATCAAGATGCGAGCATTCAATGCGGAAAATGTCTTCATAACGGTGAAACCACGAACTGAAAATGACATTTGCTTCAGGATCATAATGGAATTCAGAAATCGAATTTATGATGCTTTCATACTTGTCTGATTGACAAGTTGAGGATGACTGTAATGAGAACATTCGTGCCAATGCATCCAAAAGCTTCGTTTGATTCGCATCATTTTGTGCTTGCTGCATTTGAAGAATAGTTTTTAGGTCATCCAATGATACAGGCATTTTGTACTGGATCAATCAATATATAAAATAATAAGAAATTCCCGTCGCCAGTTGTTATGACCTTGAATCGCTTTACCCCGTGATACTTGTTATGACTTCACCTTGATCTGTCTAGATTTAACTATGACCTTGACGCGATAGGGTGAGCGGCTTAACCTTGAAGTCTATCACGCGTGAGTTCGAGTTGGGGTAGAGAGATAACTATTCTAGAACCTGATTGGTTGGCAAGCACGCAAGTGAGAGAAGACAAGACAGGTGGAACACTGAACTCTGGATTCTCTGAATTCGGATTAATACAAAAATGTACATGAATAAATAAGTGAATATCTTGACTACGACGTACAATAATTTGGAAAAATACAGTTATGCCCAAAACAGGGAATTAGGGTAGAAAATACAGTGCAAAATATTATCTTTAAATTACAATATTTTCGGAACAAAAAGGAGTATGCTGGTGAATGATACATAGAACGAAAGCTCGTGTTATGTAGAATAAGATAGGGACAAAAATAAATATAAGTGTTTTACAGGGTTTGAATGAAATGCAATAACGTCCCAAGAAAATAGCTTTCGTGATTGTCTGGGCTTCTTAATTCCCCGTTCATAACAACTAGGTTAGAGGAAACCAATTTATTGTATTAAGCAAAATCACGTAATTCGTAAAATATGAAAACGACATTGAATACATCATTTGGACATCTTCCTTGAATTGTCACTTATAAGTTCCATAGTTCTTTCACTACTGTCGCTACTCGAACTGCTTCTGCTTTTCCTTCATTTCTCTTTATTTTCCTCTTCTGTCTACAAGAATTCTACTCCCAATCCCGATATATACTACTTACAGCAGTCCGTACAAGTAGTACATACCATATAGTGGTTTATTTCTTATTATAAGGCTGTTATGTTATGAAGAATTCTTGTACATATGCTTGTATGTAATAAAAAAATTGCAAAATTACTGACCAGTTTTAATTATGGAAAATCCAGTGGTGCTAAAATTTCTTCCATGTAGATAGTTTACTAATGTACAGGTCAGTCAGTCACAACGTAGAACTTCGTACGTATGTAGGTCGGTTCAAGTTGCTAAAATCCATTAGTGAGATGAGGTTGTTTGCACTAATAAGCCTCAATTTACTTTTTTTAAACATAATGTACTCTTTAGTAACATTTTGTGTTAAGAGTAAAAACGAGTTAGACGTAAAATAACTATACTATAGGCTTTTTAAAATTAACTCGGATAAATCATTTAGTTGTGAATAAAAAAACTTAAAAACAGCTGCTGATGAGAACCTAACAAAATAAGATGAGTTCATATTATTCTGCACCAATCTTTGTTCTTGCTCTCTTTAAAATAATAAAGGGAACTATGTGTATGAAAAAAAACTTAACAAATTTTCTAGAGAATATATTTATCTTAAATGATTTTGATTGTCGGATCAAAGTAATATAACGCTAATTAGTTCTTATCTAAAATATACTGCGACTAAAGCACTTCACCTTAGTAAACATTTATCTTCAGTGCAGTAATTCAGTCAGTCATGGTCAACTTGAAGCCTGGCACAATTAAGCGTTAGCTCGTGTTGCCAGAATACATTCACACAACGAGGTGAGAAGAACAAGATGAATAGTAAGAGATTAAAATAACCTGATAGCAATGATAATGAGAAAGACTGAAAATTGAGAATATGGCCTTAAAAGACAGAATGAAAAGGTATGTATGTAGGAAAACTCGGATTTAAAATAAAGAGGAAGATAAACAGTGAATGCATCTGTGCCACTGAAACTGACTCTAAAACATACCGTCCGTTTGTTTCTACTGATGATAGTTATAATGACGACTTCAACTAGGTAGTTTGAATCTACAAAAATGACTTAGACAAATAGTCAGTGACTTCATGGACTGATGCCAATTCCTGATTTAGGCACCCCTAATTTTCTTCTAACTCACTCCTACGCTAGCTAAAAAGTTGCATCAAATAAGGCGATATTTAGGAATACGATGAAGATTCACAATTATATCAACCGATTTGGAATCTTTGCTTACTAACCTATGTCTAAATTCGGCTTTGTCCATTCATGAGTTCCACATTTTAAGCGTAGATATGAGATGATATCCATATTTATTGTCCTTTATGTTTTTCACATCATACAACTAATTATAGATTATAGTAATCCCTTCGGTTTGTAACGAAGTGATTTTCAAAACTGATTATTTACCTTAACTCTCTCTTTCACTTCCAAACCACTTTGGATTCATAACGCATAAAATTAAGTAGTGAAAGATCCTTTATGTTGCCGAATGGTACAAAATTTTTACGTATTTTCAAAATACTGAATTGTTAAAGCACTTCGATGAGTATACACAAACATTATAATAGTGCTAGACATGTTTGTAGAAAACCACGGTAGTGTAACAGTGCAAGATTTCTATATTCTGATTTAATAAAATAAATCCATACTTAACCATTTTGAGAAGAATAATACTGTATACAGAGATAAATTAAACTGAATTCCGTCTAAACGATAAAAAATACAAAATGAAAATACCTGCATGAGCATCACGTTCCAACCATGCTGGTGTTCCTTGGAGAAGTTGTTCTCGCAATGAAACATAGCCCAAAAATGCAGCCAATGCAAGGATTACAATAATGAAACCCTAAGATGAATAAATTAAGTAAGGTATTATACCACTGGAATTTATTGAATATATATATATATATATATATATATATATTCTCACTGGAGGAATCTATTACAAATCTATTTATTTACTTATAGCAGAAATAAATGCAGAGGAAACTTAATAGTATAAAAGAAATATTTCAGAAAATTTACCACGTAAAACAAAAATGAGAATATTTCGAAGGACATAGAAAAGAAGAAATGATATGATGAATAGATCAATAGAAAAAGACACGATTGCATCCGGCAATACTGTGACTCATAATGTTAGTTAAGATTGACTTTTTTTAGTTAAAAATTGTGTAGAGATAAAGAGTAAGAAAATGAAAGTGGATGTTCAACTCTTTAACTTGGTCGATAGGTGTTTAAAGCTGGTATAGGTAGAGGGGTTTAGAATGCTAACTGCAAACCAAAAATGTACATAGGCCCTGCCCTGAGGAAACGAATGGTGTATGAACGCAGTTCATTGACTGGTCATCATGGAGACATATCCTTATGTGAATTAAATAAAATAATTAGAAATGATTTCCGCTTGTTTCTCTTTGGATAGCATTACAGTCCTCAATCAGTAAATGATAATCACTAGCATAAAAACGAATACCATTTACACACTTAAAATGCTAAACCTTGGAAATTACAAAAAATAAGATTATCTTATCATATGTTATGTTGCTTTCAGTCTCTTTTCCGTCTCATTTCTATACGACTCATGTCTTCTCTTAAATTAATATCGATACTTAACGAACTCAACAACTCGTCTAGGTTGAAAATCCCGGTGCCTAAACGGTTTTAAACCAAAGAATGGTTGATTTATGAAAACTTGTATCAATTTTGATGAGTGATACAGTTATTCTAAAACTTAATGTCTTCTGTGTCTTCACCTCCACGCTGATTAGACAAGGGATACCTGGTTATAAATTTCGAAAGTCATGTAATTGATGTTTCTAATGCTATTAAAGTACGGCAACTTCGTTCCTTAGCTGTAGATTTAACTATGTCATAATACTTCGATACCAACATTTCTTTCATGATCGATTAAATACCAGTTTATTTTCACCTTACATCTTCGAACTGAGCTCTCCAACTTCCCGTTGAAATTACTCTAAGCCTAATAAAAAGCTGACAAACGCGCACTCACATTAGAGTCTGCATATGTGATTAAGAACCATAAATTTCATTTTTAACAGTAATATGATCAGTATCCGCTCATCATTAAGTTTCTAAAAGTTGTCATACCTTATGATCTTTTTTTATCCCAAGAGTAGACAATAGTTAAGAATAGACGATTTTCTGAGTACAAAATTAAAAGGCGGCCATCGTTATCTGTTCTATGAAACAGGACGCAGGAAGACCCACTTGAATGTTTTATAGTATGACGTGGACTACCCATTTGAATGTTAAAGTTGTCTGTTAAAAATATTACGACATATGGAGAAATATAAAATCAGAGAAGGGTTAGTGACGGGAATAGATTATTATGGAGCGGAGGAAGGGGTTTACTAGCGAACTAGATGTTTATTTATTTATTTATTTCAACACATAGATAATGGTACAAAGAGGCACCAAATACATATGCGCCACACAAATCTCATTCGATATGTGTGAGGGCTGTGATACTGCCCGGGTGCCCAAACCGAAGCAGTGTAAGGGGTTAACATATATTGGCAATTCATGCTCTGAAAGGAGATTCAGTCTTAAGATTTCTTTATTATTGTTGAAAGTGTATTGGCTCCAAGAACATCCGTTTGAGGTTGATTACACTCTTCATATGAGTGATTCTTTATGTTGAATTAATTACATACTTTTCAACTCTTATGACTGAGACTGGAAATCCGTGAGGCAGAGGGTGGGATATTTTTAGGACCCATTTTTCCTAATGCTAATTACCAACGTAGGAAAAAAGAATCGCTGACGACTGGTTATTTATGGAACATCTTACCGCGAAGTAGTTAGCAGTATAGTGTTGTCACATAACTTTAAATGTGCCAAATTTAGGTTCATGGTTTTTGAAGTGCTTTATTAAGCATGATAGAACCTCGAGAAACTAGTTATTCAGTCAGTATGGATCCATCAGGCCGTTACAGTAAGCATATTAAACAACAGCATCCAGGTCGTGGTTATAGTGAGACTGACATATACGACCACCACCAGCATTCTTGACTGTGAAACTCGATATGAAAATCTACACTTGCTGTTTAACTAAAAGGTTTTATTTTTTAGCAACGTTCAGCCAAATTTTTTAACGGTCATTGCTAAAAGATGCTTAAAAGACTCCATAGATCGGATTTCAGTTTTAAAGAGTGTGCAACAAATAACGGGGTGCATAAAATATATAAAATATAGAAGCTAAATATCTAAGTAAACAATTAATTCGAACCTACCTGAACACAATCTTGTAATAAGTGTTTTGTGGAAACCATGTCTAATGGAAGTGTGAGGAGTGAGAAAACGCTACCAGTAAAAAGACAACGGTACATGCGACAGGCAGATAAAGGAACTACAACCAACCATGCAGTGAAGACAATCGACAAGTGAATCCAATTTAGTACAAATCGGCGCAAGCTGTTGGTCAGTCCCACAGCCAACACGGTGAGCGGCAGAAATCGTGGAGTGTCAGATGCATAAATTCGAGTGAAAGCAAACCGATGATTACATAATTCACAAGTATTTCGTTTGCTGTACTCAAGCCAACGAATGAGGCTAAAAAATTATAGGAATTATAAAATGTACTAATAACTATCGTCCTATTTTTATTATTAACTAGTTCATCAGATACAGATTCATATTTTTGGTTCTGGGTCACATAAGTGTGAGGGTTTGTGACATTACCTGGCGGTCTAGACCGAAAGTGGAGCAGGTTACAAACCCGTGAGTTAGTGGCTGAAATTCGAACGCTTTAACCACTAAGTTATCGGTCCACTCATGATTTCCGCGAGTAAAATATAAGCAACAGAGTGAAGTATAAACGGCTAAATGAACTAGAATTAATTATATATCAAAACTATTTATTTACCCTCATACGAATAGGCAGCATGGTTATCAAATAAGATTCAGGAATAATACTCACAAATCTGCGTTTTGATCATTTTAGCTGAATATGAAACTGATATTTAGTTATTTGGATGACAAATCGGAACGGTCAGAGTGGTTGATCAAGGATATACAGCTAGATAGTTATTGTTATGAGGTACTCTTTGGTATGCAACTTGAAAATATTAACGCAGTACTTAATACCATCCAAGTGTGACTGCACGCAAGTACTCTACAATATGTTTTCAAAACTCTTGACCGAACTGACTGCCTGATATGATGGAAAGAAAAGCCAATTTTCGATTGATTTACTGATTATGAGTTTTGTTCAAAATTACTTTCGTTCTGAGTCAATGTGATGATCATTCAGTGTAGCATTTGATTTGTTTTCTCGTATGATATTTTATTCTGTATAATATACAATATTCTTGTATTCAGTTGACATGAACTATGCTCAGTATATCATTTATTATAACTAAGTATTTTTCATATATGTGATTTAATCCTAATTATTAATCAAAATGGGTGTACAATCAATATATAAATGAGTGTATTTTAGACTAGGGTCATCGTCGTCATAGTGTCTCGGGGCTAATAAATCTTCACTTATACCAGTCTGTGTTCTTCCTTTCGCGTCGTGGGAATCTCAGAGGTCCCTCGTTCCAAGTATCAGTGATCAGCGTTTGTCCAACACAGCAATCAGCGACGACCAGATATAAGCAAGCCTAGGCTACTACCACGAAGGATATATATTTTGTGAGAAAGTACGACTCTTCATAAACAGGTTCCCTTTACAGTGGTGATTGATTACACTTTAAAAAATAACCTGAAACGAGTTTTATGCTGAGTAAATGTCAAAACTCAGAATACGATAGAATAACATGCAGATATAGTAAACGACTGAACTTTTCAGAATATAATCGGAAGTCAAACTGAGAGACTATCATATTAAAGTAGTCAATAATCTAGATTGCTACTTGTCACGTATATTTCTATGCACCAACGACACTACTTGACATCCCAGATAGAAAGAAGTGAAACATTTTGGAGCAAGTGATTTGATGGTTGTGAGTTTTGTCCACATACCTAAACTACCAGTTTTATTATTGAGTTAATGTCATGACAAATCATTGCTTATTTGGAAGGTCTGCTTTAGTGGATGAACAAAACAGCATTACCGTTAGAAGAAACTCACAAACAATGTCTACAAACCTACCAATCTTGATGAATATATTTAATACTCCCAGTGCACAAACAAGGATGAAATAGAGGTTTCGTAGCAGTTCCCTCACATCGGCAAACTCGACAAAAGTCTGAAGTTAGTAGGAAAGAAAACCTTATTTTAAATTTTGTAGAAAATTGCGAAAAGCACAACACAAAAAATGAGGCTAGCAGAAAAAAAGTTTACTTAAAAGTACTGAACTCGATCTTTAGTTAATATTTCTTATGAAGAACATGAATTAAAATGTTGTGAAGATACGAAAGATAACTAATTTACTAAGACGTTTTTACGGGATTTAAAAGCCTATGTAGAACATATTTCTGGCTAGTGGTAACAAAAAAAACTAGCAGATGCGTGACAAAAATTGAATATTTGTTACAACATATTTAAGGCTTCATTAAAATGTGAAGTTTGTGTGCCATCACAAGCATTTACCATTAATGATCAAGGAATTCAGAATAACCTTACGACTGTTTACTTGCTGGGTCTGTTCAGTCTTATTAAGGATGATTTTTTGTTACAGGTAGATATCAACTAAAGAACCACCGAAAATCAAAAAGGTACTAAGCAGTTATTTAATCTTATGAATAGGTCAAGCAAATAAACTTGTACTGCTGCAGGGACCACGTTACTTTTAAATCACTAAGCTGGAGTCTAAACAACTACATCCTCACGTTCAGTTAATTCATGACACAGACCAACAACCGTTCGATATCTTTGCTATTTTAGTACTTTGCTATTTAGTACTCCCGACGGTAGCTGCTAGCTTGACGTGGTGGTCGGGATTGCCCATCATGATGACCCAACCGAGCTATATTGGCTGAAACATATGTTCTTGTAGGTTCTACCATGCCAGATAGGTTGATTGGAGAACGGTAAGACCAAAAGCAGCAACTCAAGGTATGAGGGCGAAGCCGTACTGCTGACTGTAGAGGGGTGTGACAGCCGTAAGATGTTTCCCTCGGGCAACCAGCATCTGCAGCAACGCTGCCTTCTCGCGAGGAAGGAAGGAAGGGGTTAGAAAAGGTCGACCCTAAAAATGTTATACCTCATGGATTCCCGTCTCCGGCGGTAAGGCCCTTTGAAGAACGGAGATAACACGTCAAAAAGCTACCACAAAAAGGCCGTGCGCGACCGGCCTCAAACAGTTGTCCCTTGGGCTCTGCGGTCACGCTCCCAGGTCGTTAAGACCAACACTAATCTAATTTCCTTTTCAGGTTCCTCAAGAAATACCCTTCCACGGTGTGGGCAGCCGGGAAGTGACATCAGCCCTCATACCCGTAACAGCACGCAAGACCAAGTTGGTCACATTCAAATCCTTCCTACATCTCCTAATACCTCTCTTATCTCCATGATTAACCCTCCTCACGTCCTTTTTTCGCCTCGCACCGCTAGGGCGAACGACTGGAGTACGCGGAACGTTATTCCTGGTCTCCTGAAACCACGCTCTAAACTACACGTACGAGCTTTTAACGTCCGAACACTGTGCCAAATAGAACAACAGGCTTACTTAGCTAGGACTTTAGAATCCCGCGCCATCAATGTGTGCTGCGTCTCCGAAACGCGCATACAAGATCCGAGTAGCGTCGCTCATTTGACCTCACCATGTCAAAATAAAGAACCAACTCGATTGGCGATTCGTTTATCTGGAAGCCCTGATGCTGCTTCCCATGGCCTAGCCGGTGTAGGTATAGCATTGAGTCCTAGGGCGAAACTGGCTCTCTTAAAGTGGATCCCAATAGACAGTCGTTTGTGCGCTGTCCGACTGAACGGAACAGCAAGGATCCGAAAAGATAGGAACACTCGTCGTTGCCTCTTCGTCGTCCCGTTCTATTCTCCCACTGACTACAGCTCAGATTATGTAAAAGATGAGTTTTACAGAAAGCTTTCCGACCTCCTCCGAAAACCTAGGCGCTCGGATGTAGTAATAGTGGCCGGTGACTTTCATGCTCAAGTAGGTAAACTAAGCGATAGGGAAAGACACCTAGGTGGATCTTATGGTGTCGTGACTCAAAGAACAGATAATGGCGACCGTCTGTTGCAGCTATGCTCAGATAACCGCCTCTTTCTTGCAAACACTAACTTTAAGCATAAGGAAAAATATCTTTTAACATGGAGACCCCCTAATTCATCCCAACGTTGGACCCAAATAGATCACATCGCTATCAACCACCGATGGAGAGGCTCGATAGAAGACTGTCGCTCATTTTGGAGCACATGCTTAAATTCAGATCATGCTCTAGTACGAGCGCGTATCTGTCTGCGTCTTACTGGACGTAGGAAAGACGCTGCAAGTAAACCTCTTAGGGACCTACTTAATGATAGTCAAGCTAAGAGTATATTTCAGGAATAACTAGAAAAACAGTTAGGCAGCCATGCAAGTGATGCCCACCTCTAGGCAGAGTGGAATGACATCCGTAAAGCTGTGGAAACAGCGGTGATATCTGCTAGTACGGTAAACCATAAGATTAGGGAGAAACACTATCTCAGCAGCATCTACCACGCTGGCGGATGCTCGGAAACTCATCCCATCTGGCTCTGAACATAACGAAGAGCGGAAGCAACTTAAGCGAAGGCTGATAAGAAAACTACGTAGTGATCGTGAATAGTGGTGGGTAGCGAAAGCAAGAGAGATGGCAAAGGCAGCGGCATTAGGTAACAGCATGCAACTGTTCAGACTTGTTAAGGAAACCGGTATTAGGAACGCGACTGTTTGCGAAACAATCTTAGAAAAAGATGGACATATTATTCATTCTCAATCCAGGAGATTGGATCGATGGGCAGAACACTTTAGAAATCAGTTCAACTGGCCTCCAGCCACACTTCGGTTTCGCACGATCTCCAGTCGACCTGAATTGCAAGTTGATGTAAGTCCTCCGACTCTTTATGACGTTAAAAAAGCTATAGGATGTCTGAAGCGAGGGAGAGCAGCAGGCCCTGACAGGTTTACTCCTGAGACTTTTAAGGATGGTGGTCCAGTATTAGCAGCGAGATTGACTGAGGTCTTAGGAAGAATTTCGGAACTAAACGTAATCCCATCTGACTGGTCTCAATCACTGATTGTGCCAGTCTATAAGAAAGGACAAAAGTCCTCTTGTGACAATCACAGAAGAATCACCTTAACTAGTACAATGTCTAAAATATTAGCTTCAATAATAGCTCGTGAAGAGCAGACTACAGAAAACCAGGCTGGTTTTCGACCTGAATGTGGTTGTATAGACCAGATATTTACATTACGTCACGTCCTAGAACATAGACACACATTCAGACGCCCCACAATAGTAGTATTTCTCGACCTTAAGGCGACGTTTGACTCTGTTGATCGTGAGGTTCTGTGGCAGTGTTTGTCACTGAAAAGAGTACCAAAGAAGTACGTTAGCCTTATAAAGGGTCTCTACTCGAACAAAACTGGTCGAGTGAGAGCTTATGGCGAACTGTCATCAGAATTGATTACCTCAAGTGGTGTTCGTCAGGGCTGTCCATTCTCTCCATCTTGTTCAACTTTGTCATTGGCGTACTTTTAGAGATAACAATTTCCTCATCTAAATTTCCAGGAGTTGAACTTCTACCGGGAGGTTCACTTGTTGACTTGGAATATGCCGATGGCATAGTTCTATTTGGTGAAGACGCTGACAAAATGCAGTCTTCTGACCAATCTAAGCAACAATGCAAGCGTATTCGGGATGCGATTCTCCCCCTCGAAATGCAAAGTGTTGCTTCATGATTGGGTTGCCTCGACACCTGAACTAATGATAGGGAGTGAAGTAATTGAGCGTGTCGACCGCTTCACTTATCATGGAAGTTTCATCAGCCCTTGTGGTCTGGTGTGTGACGAAATCTCAGCACGGATACAGAAGGCTCGACTAGCTTTTGCCAACTTGCGTCATTTATGGCGTAGGCGAAATATCCGTTTACCAACCAAATGACGTGTTTACTGCGCAACAGTTCGTTCCGTCCTACTTTACGGAAGCGAAACATGACTGGTAAGAGTAGAGGATATTCGTAGGTTACTAGTATTCGATCATAGGTGTCTTCGAAACATTGCTCGTATATCTTGGGACCATCGAGTAAGCAATGCAGTTGTTAGGAAACGGGTACTAGGTAAAGATGGCCAATTGACTGATGAAGTAATGAAACTTCATCAGTTGAGATGGCTGGGACACGTGTTACGTATGACTAACCACCGACTGCCCCAACGTGCGATGTTTTGTGGTGTAGGAGTAGGTTGGACGAAATCTAGGGGCGGCCAGACCAAAACGTGGCACAAATGCATGAAGTCACTGACAAGTGGACTGGATCATGTTGGTAGGTGTAGACTACCTGGTTGGGATCCGCGAGATGATAGCAACCGATGGTTAGAGACCTTGAATAACATGGCTCAAAATCGTTTGCAATAGCGCAGGTGCATCCACTCTTTGTGTTCTCCCAAATTCTAATCTTCTGAATTCCTCGTGTCCCTTTTTTCCTCTTTCCGAATTTATTTCACTGGATTATACTCCTTGAATAACATCTCTAAACCCTAATGTTTTAGATTACCGATTATATTTTTACTACATCTACCACTAAGGGATTTGAATCGACAACTGCATCTATGTGCTAATGTGCTATGGCAACTCGAAATGATGTACGTACGTACGAAGTTCTACGTTGTTACCGACTGACTGACTATTTTAGTACTGTCTATACACCGTTTTACATCAATTCATTAGGTGTATGAGGATTTACCATCATTTTACGAGTGCTCAAATGTAAGTTCGGATGTTAATAAAAACCAGAACTTTGCATTAGTCACACCTTCCGACAAAAAGGAGCGGAAGTCAGCAACGAGTGACATTGAACAACTAAACACATAGGAGATAAACAGTGCGAAACAGGATGGTCAAAAAACGGAGACAAGGAAGTCGAATAAGTTTGGGTCATATCATGGAGTATTGTCAAATACTGAATATTAGCGTTGCTTAAGCCTAGTCGTGAAAAAGTTACTTCCTTACACTGTTCAGAATGACAGTTGGAGAGAATACTTACTCAGTATGCTTGCGCTCTGGCTTTTTGGAATCAACATACATCTAACCAGTGTTGGAGTACTTTAATCAGTTCTGATTCATCTGATGGATTAACTATACTTCACTAGTTAAAATACTTTTACCAACCCGAACGTTGCTGATTATGATTTTATAGAACAAAATGTTTCTAAAACAAAGTTGAATGACCAAGATAATTTAATATCATTGAAATTTAACTATCGATTCTAGTAAACGCGAGGTAGAAAAAACACTTTCTAGTGCTACATTTTGTCTAAATAGTCACAGAAACCGGAACATGTGGTTTTATCAAAAGTAAACTGTACGTTAGATTCAACAGGCTCCCACGAGTATGACATGAAAAGACTAGTATTTAAGCAGTAACTGGTCGCTAGACCAGACTGTTACTAGTGATTATAATATAAATTCAATATTATGCCTCCGCGGACAAGCAGAAACAGCTTGCACACTTCCCACTTGATTAGAGACGAAGCTGGTGTAAACGATATAGCAGCAATGGTAAAAGACGGAAGTATGATATAAAGACATAGAGGCGGCATGACAAAATATAGGATAATAAAACTCATATTAAAGCAAAACAAATAATAGGAAGGGTATGGAATACGGCTCATTTCTATTCATTTGAATTAAGCATTTATTAACAGATGTCCACAACTCTTATTTGCACACGTGGTGTTTATAAGAAAAAAGAAACCTTTCTGATCTGAAATAAAGCAGGGAGGGGTAGACTAACGCAGTTCTAATAGTAAATGCGTCAAACTACTTCATACCACATCGTCAAATCTATCACCTGTGATGACCTGAACAGAAAGGTTTGTTATAATGAGTTCTTACCTTAATTTTTTACTAAAACTTATGAGCGAACTGAACATTTTTTGTGCACATTTATGTATTTTAGAACAGGATAATTCTAAATGTTGTGTTAATCCAAAACAGCTTTTAGCGATAGTCGTTGAGGTGAGTTGTTAGGTGACAACGTGCACAAAGGAGAACAATGAAAAAAACACGTAGTCAATGGATTATGAAGAATAATTTGATGTCGATTACTTTATACATGTGACAAAAAGTTCAATTTAAAGACGTATTTACTAGGTGGATTTTAAAGAACACAAATAAATGAATTCATTCGACGAAGCTATTTTTGGGACAAACTTATTGTATTGATGTCATTCTTTAAACGACTATCTCACTGATTACTAGTAGCAGTCTGTCCTTACTAATTGACCACTTAGATAATCAACTCGAGGTCTGTGAGAAAACTGTATGGGTAGCTCACGGAATGCAGTAAAACGGACGCTCACCTACCATCTTGATACATAATAAATGATACAAAGTTATAACATAGCACAGCTTATACCTACCCGGGTTCACCTTATCATCAGAATTACCCGTCATCTATGAGAGGCAAACTGGCTCCCCGCCTTTCGCTACAGTTTATCTGATCCAATTTTCAATATCGTCATTTCAGACTAACGTTATTCATTCCCATATTTGCTTAAGTGCTCTACTGTTACTTTACAGTGACATATTATTAAAAGATTTTTAGTCTTATGCAGTCTTAACCCTAGTTAGCCTAACTGATACGACTTAAAAACAACTCATTGCAACGCAGCAACCGGTAAAGGTTTTCGAGCGTTGTGATCACTTCGTCAAGGATTCAAATGCTTTGACGAGAAGACTTTATGGATTTCTATATTAAATTTATGCCAAGCACACCTAGAATTCTGTGTTTAAACAGTCAGTTCATGTCTTGTTAATGATACACGGTCGAGTGCGTTTGACGTTGTAGTGGTAAATAAATCGCTCTGTAAGTTTTCGACATTGGATGCTGACCACATGTTTTAATGGACTGAAGGCGCTCAGTGATGCATCCGCACCAGATCACGAGTGGGAACGCCGTGTTCAACATCTACTGCAATCGCTAGCCAGATTAGATCAGACGATTCTCGATATATTGATATTACATCAAATATATCTTCCAATTTCCTCGATTCTGTCTTTTGGTTTCTCTTGGTGGGTACGAGTTATATTGAGTGTTACTGGTTAAAGCGTTTTCAAACACTGAATACTTGTGCCATCTTCAACGTGTAAGAACAATGTTAGTAACGAATCGTTCCAATGAGCGCTAAAAACGCCTGACCTTTTCCCCTTATCGTATCCTAGGATGTTAAGTGACCTCATATCAGCATTATGTATCTTTAATAACGATTTGGATGTTAATGTAACTAATCTTTTTGCTGCTTTCACAACTAATCATCTTCAAGGCCATAGCAAGAGGGTTTAGAAACCACGATTGTATAAACTCGGAGTGAAGCCTCGCTTTTCTCACCCAGTAGTAAATTATGAAACACCCTATCCGAACAAGTGGTACCAACCCCATTAGTGAACATTTTATGAATCTGAACCTTCATCAAGAAACAACCTGCAAGGATTACTATAAGTCTGCAGACCTAGTACTCTTATTACTCCAGATCGAAGACTAAAGAAGAAACTTAATTTTTTCACTCATTACTGTTATTCACTATGCACATAGTGTACCTTGGTGTTACAAAAAACATAGCTAATTTATGGATAGATTTAGCATGCAGAAGACTGCTGAACTTAAACTCATGTGCAATTAGGGACATAAATAGTTTAATTTCAGGTTGCGTGGCAAGTACTCCTTTCGACTTTCCGCGTGAATGCTGTACACTAGACTTCGTATCGACGTGGATAGCTTCGGAATGTAGGTCGTTCCTTCTGTATTTAGGCCCAGTGGTTCTTTAAAAAACATTGCCGCAACCTTTGTATCTTAATTTCCGGCGTTTAGCGTTATCCATGTATCTGCTTGCACATCCGAAATTACATAATACTGTTGTAGAAACCGTCAGAATAGATTTACAAAAGTTCCTTAAGGAATACGAATAGTGTTATGTGTCTGGACACTTAGTTTACAATGTACATTCGTTACAGCACCTCCCTGACGACGTTCGTGCACATGGAACTTTAGATAGCTTTTCAGCCTTTCCATTCGAGTCTTATAAAGGACAAATTAAGGATTCTGTACGTAGTGGGTTTGCTGTAGCTAGGCAGGCAGTTCAGAGTTATGCTGGAAAAATGTCCTTCCGCGATAGGCTTCAACTTAGCTGTTTAACAAATACTTCCCCAATGAGCGCTAATGATGCTTCCAATAAACAAGTAATTATGTTTAAGAATAGTAAAATAACTTCATTTGAACCTGATAATGTAGTGGTAGTAAAGCGACAACCTGGTTTAGTAACTGATAATTGGGCAGTTCTGAAATGTAAAGTCGTTAACGAATTCGGTAGGTAACAAACATAGAAACTACAATTCACTAGTTTCACAAGATTCTCTGCAGTTGACGAAAGATGTTTGACTTTTAATGCAAACACTAGAATCTCACCGTAGAAACACTTCTACGGATGAGAACACACTGCCACAAAACAGTAAGAAGCCCAAGAGGTCAGTACAACAATCTTACTAACATTACCTAGAGGTGCAATGAAGCTTAAAAAAGATTTTCTTTGCAATCCAGTCGACATGGATGTGGCTGAGATGCTAGCTGGGAATAGTCACGTACAATATCCCAAATTTTGGGTGTTCGACAAATTCGTCTCGCCAAGTAGATTTTATTACTATTTAGATATTCACGAATTAGTTCGACACAATTAGAGACATCACCTTCAGCATCGGAACCTAAACATGTCGGTGGTGCTATAGCCGATCAGTAAGTCACCTGCACCATCTATTGAACTTTTCCAGCTTTGAGAGGTTATACAAGATTTTGCAAAACATATTCTCGGCCATTACTGACTTGAATATTAATGTTAAGCAGTTACTATATAAGTCTAACGAACACGAACAACTACATCAATTCGATTGCGGACTCTCGAGACAGCAGTTCTCTTTGTCATCTGAAGAAGAACTGCAGATGCTGGACACTGGTTTGTAGCATCAAGAAACCAAGGACCTATTTGTAGGTCATCAACGTTAATTTAATAATTTGTTCCTATTGCAGATGGCAATGGTTACTAGGTTATCAATTGACGATCAAAAAACATCGATGCGGTTTGTTCTGTAGCATCTCTTGACACCTGAGGTTGCCAGTAAATTCACGTTACTTGGCACCTCTTCAAAACGAACACTTCAGAAATGCAAGTTTTACGGCTGCATACGAAGTAACATATATCTATTATTTAAATATCAGGTGCCTTAACTAATCGCTTTCTGTCATCGGCTGTCAACGAAAAAGACGTTGGTAAGCTATACGACATCGCGACACAAGGTTACTTTCATGATGTCAGAGACAAGACGATAAAGTGTAATAGAAGAAAACAAGATCAGGTATGTACTAATATAAAGTGATAACTTCCCCACGGCTCTATAGTTACAGTCAACAATATTGACGAACATAACCGTAAGTTCAGCTTCAAGTATTTGGCTGTGCCAAAGCATGTCATTGAGATATGGTTGTGACTTTTTTCTTTTTTTAACTTCAGAATTCAGGGGACGACTACCTCAGTTCTCAGTAGCCGAACGAACGTGGCTAAAGGGAATACTCCGTGCAATTTTCTTTATGTTCTACCTCATTTTTAATAAACAATTTTTGGTAAAAGAGCTTATTATATTACTTATATGGAAAACTATAGAAGTGTTGAGAATGTGTGTTTGAGTGTCAGTGAAATTTTGTTTAAATGCACATTCCTTATAAATAATACATCACGTGTTCCTTCTTTTGCAGATAATTTCAAATAACAATGAATTAGCAATTGCAATTGCAATGCATAACAATCGATGCGGAAGCTTCTGCTTTAATGTTGTACATTAATACGCTTTTACTTTTAAATAAATTTTCTTCAAAATATACCCATTTTCCAGTGCATTTCAGCTTTATTTTGGTCTGTTGTTGAAAATAAAAGCGAACACATGAGACCTTTGGGGTTATGTCCATGGATCAAAAGTAGGGAGTCCTGCATGTATTTAAACGAAAAGTGGACAATTTAGTGTATAAGAAGCCATTCCGCGGAAATTTAGGCGAAAAGTAGACAATTCGGCAAACATTTAGGCGAAAACTAGGCAATTTGACGGAAATTTGGGGAGAGAAGTAGACAATTCGGCGGATATTTAGGCGAAAAGTGGGCAGTTTGGCGGAAATTCAGGTGAAAAGTAAGTAATTTATCGACAAAGCGGCAAAAAAGAGGAAGATTTGCAGTATTTCCCTCGGAAATGCAAAAAAGGCGACATTCTGATGCGCTTTCCTCTTTATTTCTCCTTTATCTTCCAAAACATGTACCCCTTTATTTCTCCTTTGTTCGCCTTTATTTCCCCTTTTTTGGTTGTTCGGGATGTTGTACTGATTCCCCTCTTCTCAGTCACCAGTAATCTCCGCAGAATAAAGTTTTGATTCCTCCTTCAAGGATTTTTAAAGTAAGGAAAATGATAATTCAGAATGAGTGTATTAATATGTCAACAGGAACACAGATTTAGCAATTTAACAAAAAACGCCAATCAGAATAGCCATAACGAGATATAAAACGTAGTGTGAAATCACAGCAGAATGCAAGTTCATTTTTTTCTTTTACTATGAGATTTGTGCCAAACCAAAAGTAACATGATCGCAAATCAGTTTTCTGAAGTAACTGGGAAGTAAACTTTGGTTAACCATACATTCTGCAATGTCACTTTGGGCGATTATAATGAACGACCATAAGCAACCGAGGAACGTATCTGGTATATCTAATTTTACACTCAGATTTTGTTAGGACTCTGACTACTTTATAAATAACTGTTCATTCTCTGTGTGGGTCAGTACCCATACTCTGCCAGTGAGTTTGTAGTGGCATTGGACCATAACCACACTATCCTCAAAGCTGAATACGAGATTACTCGGAAAAAAGGTATTCAATATTTAACGCGAAGAAATACCTAACGATGGAGAAGGCGCGAATAATGAACTGAATGAATTAGGGTTGATCGAACGGCATGGCTCGGCCATGCAGGCGTGGTCTCTGCTGAATGTTACCTCACATTTCCTATTTATATTAAATATATTGTTCTTTCTCTAGCCTAACCTTGTTCTACATCATGTATTGGTAATTGAGTTGGTGTAGTCGGTGGTTTGACTTCCACGTAAGATCTTATGGATTAGGCAGTTATATCATGACAAATCTACAAATTTAGGATTGGGTCTATTATTAGAGCAGTAGTAATATCATAGTAGATCATAATTCTACAAGTTTTCTGTTTTTAATCATATATACTTCTTTTCCCTGGTCTTAAGAGTATACCGCGAGCCTTATAGCGTTTTCATGTCATATGCAACTGTAGTGAAGCCATATATATGCTCTCATCGGTTCACGACCATGTCTTATAGTACAAAAGTTTCTTGTTTTGAGGTTCATTTTGAATGTTTTGTGTGTGTGAAAATCCCTCCATTTAT